TGGATGGAAGGAGGGAGAATGGGGCGGGGTGATGGAAGGAGGGAGAATGGGCCGGGGTGATGTAAATCGAGAGAATGGGGTGGGGTGTTGGGAAGCGGGAGAATGGGGCGGGTGGTGGAAGGAGGGAGAATGGGGCGGGGTGATGGAAAGCGGGAGAATGGGGCGGGGTGATGGAAAGCGGGAGAATAGGCAGGGTGATGGAAAGCGAGACAATGGGGCGGGGTGATAGAAGGAGGAGAATGGGGCAGGGTGATGGAAAGCGGGAGAATTGGGCGGGGTGATGGAAAGCGGGAGAATGGGGCGGGGTGATGGAGAGCAGGAGAATTGGGCGGGGTGTGATGGAAAGCGGAGAATGGGGCGGAGTGATGGAACGCGGAGAAGAGGGGCGGGTGATGGAAAGCAGGAGAATGGGGCTGGGTGATGGAAAGCGGGAGAATAGGGCGGGTGATGGAAAGGGGACAATGGGGCGGGGTGATGGAAAGCGGGAGAATGGGGTGTGGTGATGGAAAGCAGGAGAAGGGGGCGAGATGATGGAAAGCGGTAGAATGGGGCGGGGCTATGGAAAGCGGGAGACGGGGGCGGGGTGAGGGAAAGCGGGAAAATGGGACGGGGTGATGGAAAGTGGGAGAATGGGGGCGGGGTGATAGAAAGCGGGAGAACGGGGCGGGGGGTGATGGAAAGCGGGAGAATGGGGCGGGGTGATGGAAGGAGGGAGGATGGGGCAGGGTGATGGAAGGACACCCAAAGCGTTGCAGTGCTCTTGCCGGACACCCTAAAGCGTTGCAGTGCTCTTGCTGGACACCCCGGAGCGTTGCAATGCATTTCCAGGACACCTCGTAGCGTTGCAATGCTCATGCCCGACACCCTGGAGCGTTGCTGTGCTCTTGCAGGATACCCCGGAGCGTTTGCAATGCTCTGGCTAGACACCCTGGAGCGTTGCTGTGCTCTTGCAGGATACCCCGGAGCGTTGCAATGCTCTTGCCGGACACCTTGGAGCTTTGCAATGCTTTTGGCAAACACCCTAGATCGTTGCAATTCTCTTGCCAGACACTCCGGAGCGTTGGTGTGCTCTTGCCGGACACCGCGGAGCGTTGCAGTGCACTTTTCGGACACCCCGGAGCGTTGCAATGCTCTTACCGGACACCCCAGAGCGTTACAATGCTCTTGATGGACACCCTCGAGCGTTGCAGTGCTCTTGCCTGACACCCATGAGCGTTGCAGTGCACTTGCCGGACACTCCTGAGCGTTGCAATGCTCTTGCCCAACACCCAGGAGTGTTGGATTGAACTTGCCAAACACCCCGTAGCGTTGCACTGCTCTTGCCAGACACCCCGGAGTGTTGCAAGGCCTTGCTAAACACCTTGGAGCGTTGCAATGTTCTTGCCAGACACCCTGGATCGTTGCAAATTGCTTGCCGGACACCCCGGGGCGATGGAAAGCTCTTGTTGACCACCTTGGAGCGTTGCAATGCTCTTGCCGACACCTGGGAGTGTTGCAATGCTCTTGCCGGACACCCCTGGAGCGTTGCAGTGCACTTGCCGAACACCTCGGAGCGTTGCACTGCTCTTGCCGAACACCCCGGAGTGTTGCAGCGCTCTTGCCGGACACCCTAGAGCTTTGCAATGATCTTGCCAAACACCCTCGAGCGTTGCAATGCTCTTGCCGGACACCCCGGATCGTTGCAACGTGCTTGCCGGACACCTCCGAGCGTTGCACTGCTCTTGCCGACACCCTGAAGGGTTGCAATGCTCTTGCGACACACCTGGAGCGTGTTGCAATGCTCTTGTTGGACACCTTGGTGCGTTGCAATGCTCTTGCCCGACTCCCCGCAGCATTGCAATGCTCTTGCCGACCACCCTGGAGCGTTGCAATGCTCTTGCCCAAACACCCTGGAGCGTTGCAATTCTCTTGCCGGACACCCTCGAGCATTAAAGTTCTCTTGCCGGACACCCCGGAGCGTTGTAGTGCACTTGCCGGACACCTCGGAGCGTTGCAATGCTTTTGCCGGACACCTTGGAGCGTTGCGATGCTCTTGCCTTACATCCCAGAGCGTTGCACTGCACTTGCCAGACACCCTGGAGCGTTACAATGCTCTTGCCGGACACCCTGGAGTGTTGCAATGCTCTTGCTGGACACCCCAGAGCGTTGCAATGCTTTTGCTGGACACCCAGGAGCATTGCGATGCTCTTGACGAACACACTAGAGCGTTGCAATGCTCTTGCCGAACACCCTAGAGCGTTGCAATGCTCTTGCTAGACACCCCAGAGCGTTGCAATGCTTCTGCCGGACACCCTGGAGCGTTTGCAAGGCTCTTGCCGAACACCCTGGGCGCTACACTGCTCTTGCCGACCACCCTGGAGTGTTGCAATGCTCTTGCTGACCACCCAAGAGCGTTGCAATACTCTTGCCGGACACCCCGGAGCGTTGCAATGCTCTTGGCAGACACCTCAGAGCATTGCAGTGCTCTGGCCGGACCCCCGGAGCTTTGCTGTGCACTTGTTGGACACTCCGAGTGTTGCAATGCCCTTGACGACCACCCAACAGATTGCAATGCTCTTGCCGGCCACCCTGAAGCGTTGCAATGCTCTTGCCAAACACCCTGTAGCGTTGCAATGCTCTTGCACGACACCCCGGAGCGTTGCAATGCTCCTGCCTGACACACTGTTGCGTTGCAATGCTCTTGCCAAACACCCTAGAGCGTTGCAATGCTCTTGCCGGACAACCCGGAGCGTAGCAATGCTCCTGCCGGACACCCTGGAGCATTGCAAGGCTCTTGCGGGACACCCTGGAGCGCTGCAATGCTCTTGCCGACCACCCTGGAGCGTTGCAATGCTCTTGCCGACCACCCGAGAGCGTTGCAATGCTTTTGCCGGACACCCCGGAGCGTTGCAATGCTCTTGCCTGACACCCTGGAGCATTGCAGTGCACTTGCCGGACACCCTGGAGCGTTGCAGTGCTCTTGCCGGCCACCATCGAGCGTTGCAATGCTCTTGGCAGACACCTCAGAGCATTGCAGTGCTCTTGCCGGATCCCTCGGAGTGTTGTAGTGCACTTGCTGGACACCCTAGAGTGTTGCAATGCTCTTGCCGACCACCCAAGAGCGTTGCAATGCTCTTGCCGGCCACCCTGAAGCATTGCAATGCTCTTGCCGGACACTCAGGAGCGTTGCAATGCTCTTGCACGACACCCCGGAGCGTTCCAGTGCTCCTGCGTGACACCCTGGAGCGTTGCAATGCTCTTGCCGGACACCTTGGAGCGCTGCAATGCTCTTGCCGACCACCCTAGAGCGTTGCAATGCTCTTGCCGACCACCCAGGAGCGTCGTAATGCTCTTGCCGGACACCCAGGAGCGTTGCAATGTTCTTGCTGGCCACCCTAGAGCGTTGCAATGCTCTTGCCGGCCACCCTGGAGCATTCTAGTGCTCTTGCGGGACACCCTAGAGCATTGCAATGCTCTTGTAGGACACCCTGGATCAGTGCAATGCTCTTGACGGACACCCCAGAGCGTTGCAGTGCATTTGCCGGACACCCCGTAGCGTTGCAATGTTCTTGCGGGACACACCCTAGAGCGTTGCAATTTCCGGACACCCTGGAGCGTTGCAATGATCTAGCTGGATACCCTGGGAGCGTTGCAGTGCACTTGCCGGATACCATGGAGCGTTGCAATGCTCTTGCCGGACACCTTGTAGTGTTGCAATGCTCTTGCCGGACACCCCAGAGCGTTGCAATGCACTTGCCGGACACCTCCAAGTGTTGCAGTGCTCTTGCTGGACACCTTGGAGCATTGCAATGCTCTTCCCGGACACCCTAGAGCGTTGCAATGCTCTTGGCTGACACCCCAGAGCATTACAGTGCTCTTGCCAGACACATCGGAGCATTGGAGTGCACTTGTTGGACACCCTGGAGTGTTGCAATGCTCTTGCTGACCACCCAGGAGCGTTGCAATGCTCTTGCCGGCCACCCTGAAGCGCGTTGCAATGCTCTTGCCGGACACCCTGGAGCATTGCAATGCTCTTGCACGACCACCCAGAAGCTTTGCCATGCTCCTACTTGACACCTCAGAGCGTTGCAATGCTCTTGCTGGACACCTTGGAGCGCTGCAATGCTCTTGCCGACCACCCTTGAGCGTTGCAATGCTCTTGCCGACCACCAGGAGCGTTGCGATGCTCTTGCCGACCACCTAGGAGCATTGCAATGCTCTTGCCGGAGCGTTGCAGTGCACTTGCTGGACACCCCGTAGCGTTACAATGCTCTTGCCGGACACCTTGAAGCGTTGCAATGCACTTGCCGACCACCGTGGAGCATTGCAATGATTTTGCCGGCCACCCTAGAGCGTTGCAAAGCTCTAGCCGGACACCTTGGAGCGTTGCAGTGCACTTACCGAAAACCTCGGAGCGTTTGCAATGCTCTTGCCGGACACCCATGAGCGTTGCAATGCTCTTGCCGCACACCCCGGAGCGTTGCAATGCATTTGCCGGACACAACGTAGCGTTGCAATGCTCTTGCCAGACACCCTGGAGCGTTGCAATGCTCTAGCTGGACACCCCGGAGCGTTCTAGTGCACTTGCCAGGCACCCTGAGCGTTGCAATGCTCTTGCCACACACCCCGGAGCGTTGGTGTGCTCTTGCCGGACACCCCGGAGCGTTGCAATGCTCTTGCCGGACACCCCGGAGCATTGCAATGCTCTTGCTGGACACCCTAGAGCATTGCAGTGCTCTTGCCGGACACTCATGAGCATTGCAGTGCACTTGCCAGACACTCCTGAGCATTGCAATGCTCTTGTCGGACACCCAGTAGCGTTGCAATGCTCTTGCCGAACACCCCAAAGCGTTGGATTTCACTTGCCGAACACCCCGGAGCGTTGCACTGCTCTTGCTGGACACCCTAGAGCGTTGCAATGCTCTTGCCAAACACCCTCGAGCGTTGCAATGCTCTTGCCGGACACCCCGGATCGTTGCAAAGTGCTTTGCGGGACACCTCGGAGCGTTGCACTGCTCTTACTGACACCCTGAAGGGTTGCAATGCTCTTGCAAGACACCCTAGAGCGTTGCAATGCTCTTGCCAGGCACCCTGGAGTGTTGCAATGCTCTTGCCGGACACCCCGCAGCGTTGCAATGCTCTTGCCGACCACCCTGGAGCGTTGCAATGCTCTTGCCAAACACCCTAGAGCGTTGCAATGCTCTTGCCGGACACCTTGAAGGGTGCAGTGCACTTGCAATGCTCCGAGGTGTCCGGCAAGTGCACTGCAATGCTCCGAGGTGTTCGGCAAGAGCACTGCAACGCTCCAGGGTGTCCGGCAAGAGCATTGCAACACTCCAAGGTGTCCGGCAAGTGCAATGCAACGCTCAGGGGTGTCCGGCAAGAGCATTGCAATGCTACAGGGTGTCTAGCATGACCTTTTCAACGCTCCATGGTGTCCAGCAAGAGCATTGCAATGCTCCCGGGTGTCCGGCAGGTGCATTGCAACGCTCCGGGGTGTCGGGCAGAGCCTTGCAACACTTCAGGGTGTACGGCAAGAACATTGCAACGCTCTGGGGTGTCCGGCAAGAGCATTGCAACGCTCTCAGGTGGTTGGCAAGAGCATTGCAAAGCTCCAGGGTGGTCGGCAAGAGCATTACAGCGCTCCAAGGTGTTCGGTAGGAGCATTGCAACGCTTCGGGTGTCCGAGAAGAGCATTGCAACGCTCCAGGGTGTTCGGCAAGAGCATTGCAACGCTCCAGTGTGTCCTGGAAGAGAATTGCAATGCTCTAGGGTGTCCAGCAAGAGCATTGCAACGCTCCGGGGTTTCCGGCAAGAGCATTGCAACACTCCAGGGTGTCCGGCAAGAGCATTGTAACGCTCCAGGGTGTCCGTCAAGTGCAGTGCAACGCTCCGGGATGACCGGCAAGAGCATTGCAACGCTCCAGGGTGTCCGGCAGAAGCATTGCAACGCTCCAAGGTGTCCGGCAAGTGCACTGCAACGCTCTGGGGTGTCAAGTAGGAGCACTCCAACGCTCCAGGGTGTCCGGCAAGAGCATTGCAACGCACCAAGGTATGCGGCAAGTGCAATGCAGCGCTCCGGGGTGTCCGGCAAGAGGATTGCAATGCTACAGAGTGTCCGGCAAGACCATTGCAACGCTCCAGGGTGTCCAGCAAGAGCATTGCAACGCTCCGGGGTGTCCGGCAAGAGCATTGCAACGCTCCGGGGTGTCCGGACACCCCGCAGCGTTGCATTGCACTTGCCGGACACCTTGGAGTGTTGCAATGGTCTTTCCAAACACCCTGGATCGTTGCAATGCTCTTGCCGGACACCGCGGAGCTTTGCATTGCACTTGCGGACACCTTGGAGCATTGGAATGCTCTTGGCAAACACCCTAGATCGTTGCAATGCTCTTGCCGGACACCCTGGAGCGTTGCAGTGCTGTTGCCGGACACCGCGGAGCGTTGCAGTGGACTTGCCGGACACCTCGGAGCGTTGCAATGCTTTTGCTGGACATCCCGGAGCGTTGCACTGCACTTGCCGGACACCCTAGAGCATTACAATGCTCTTGCCGGACACTCTGGAGCGTTGCAATGCTCTTGCCGGACACCCCGGAGCGTTGCAATGCTTATGCTGGACACCTTGGAGCATTGCAATGCTCTTGCCGAACACACGGGAGCGTTGCAATGCTCTTGCCGGACACCCCGGAGCATTGCAATACTCTTGACGGACACCCTAGAGCGTTGCAAGACTCTCGTCGGACACCCTGGAGCGCGCTGCAATGCTCTTTCCGACCACCTGAGACCGTTGCAATGCTCTTGACAGACACCCCGGAGCGTTGCAATGTTCTTGCTGAACACCCTGGAGCGTTGCAATGCTCTTACCATACACCCCGGAGCAATGCAATGCTCCTGCCAGATACCCTGGAGCGTTGCAAGGCTCTTGCCGGACACCTTGGAGCACTGCAATGCTCTTGCCGACCACCCTAGAGCATTGCAATGCTCTTCCGTGTACTATGCGAGATCTGAGCGCTTCCGTTCTCCCAGGCATTTGCACTCTAAGTTCCATACTGACAGACCTGGCCAATGCACCATTTTCCATATACATATGCATTAGATTCCTTTCAAACCTTATTAACTCACTAGATTTATATATTTCCCACCTTCTGATCGAGTGAGACCGCTAGATTCCCTCTACTTTTTGAGAAATGAGCGTTTCCGTTCTCCTTGGCCCTACTTGCACTATAAGTGCGAAATGCCGGCCAGACTGGCCGATGCACAATTTTCTCTACACATGTGCGTTAGTTCCCTTTCAAACCCTTACGTTCACTAGATGAATATAATTCCTACTTTCTATTTGAGTGAGACCACTTGATTCCGTGTATTATGCGAGATCTGAGCGCTTCCATTCTCCCTGACATTTGCATCTTAAGTTCCGATACTGACTGACCTGGCCAATGCACCATTTTTTCTATACATGTGCGTTGAATACATTTCAAACCTTTTTAGCTGACTAGATTTATATATTCCCACCTTCTGATTGAGTGAGACCGTTAGATTCCCTCTACTTTTTGAGAAACGAGCGTTTCCGTTCTCTCTGGCCCCACCTGCACTATGAGTGCGAAATGCCGGCCAGACTGACGGATGCACCATTTTCTCTACACATGTGCGTTAGTTACCTTTCAAACCATTACGTTCACTATATGAATATATTTCCTACCTTATATTTGAGTGAGACCACTAGATTCCGTGTATTATGCGAGATCTGAGCAGTTCCGTTCTCCGAGGCATTTGCACTCTAAGTTCCCATACTGACCGACCTGGCCAATGCACCACTTTCTATATACATATGCATTAGATTCCTTCTGAACCTTATAAGCTCACTAGATTTTATATTTCCCACCTTCTGATCGAGTGAGACTGCTAGATTCCCTTTACTTTTTGAGAAATGAGCGTTTCCGTTCTCCTTGGCCCTACTTGCACTATAAGTGCGAAATGCCGGCCTGACTGGCAGATGCACCATTTTCTCTACACATGTGCGTTAGATACCTTTCAAACCCTTACGTTCACTAGATGAATTTATTTCCTACCTTCTATTTGAGTGAGACCACTAGATTCCGTGTACGATGCGAGATCTGAGCGCTTTCGTTCTCCCTAGCATTTGCATTTGAAGTTCCGATACTGACCGACCTGGCCAATGCACCATTTTCTCTATACATGTGCGTTGAATACATTTCAAACCTTTTTAGCTGACTAGATTTATATATTTCCCACCTTCTGATCGAGTGAGACCGTTAGATTACCTCTACTTTTTGAGAAACGAGCGTTTCCGTTCTCCCTGGCCCCACCTGCACTATGAGTGCGAAATGCCGGCCAGACTGGCCGATGCACCATTTTCTCTACACATGTGCGTTAGTTACCTTTCAAACCCTTACGTTCACTAGATAAATATATTT